TTTTTATGTGCCATCAAATCAGTTCCTTAGCCTTCAAGGTGACATCTTTCCTACTTAATACTTTAAAGAGGTTTTTTGTAGCAGATTTGTGTGATGCAATGTATTGTTTGATTTCTTGACTGCTGCTTCTATGGGAGATATGTACATATAGTATTTTACAAAGCACATAAAATGTGAGTGCTGTATATAAATAATGTACATGTTTATATATATATATGTGTGTGTGTGTGTGTGTGTGTGTGTGTGTGTTTATGGAGAGATAGCTAGATAGATGAAAAACAAATCCACTGCCATCGAGTTAATTCTGACTCATAGTAATCCCTATTGGCTTTCTAAGGCTGTAAATATTTACGGAAGTAGATTGCTTCATCTTCCTGCTGTAGAGATAGATAAATAGATAGATAGATAGATAGATAGATAGATAGATAGATAATTTAAGTGTGTGTCTGCATATGCCTGTATATAAAATATATTTATGAAGCATTTGTAGTAGTTCTGGACTGCCAGAAGGACGAACAAACCTATCCTGGAAGAAATACAGTTGGAATTCTCCTTAGAAGAGAGAATGGCCAGACTTGGTCTCACCTACTTTGGTCATGCTGTCAGAAGGGATCAGTCCCTGGAGAGGAATATCAGACTTTGTAAAGGGTCAGAGACAAACGGGAAGTCCCTCAACAAGACGGATTGACACAGTGACTGAAAACATGGGCTCAAGCATAGCAAGCATTGTGAGGAGAGCACAGGATCAGGCAGTGTTTTATTCTGTCGTACATAGGGTATCTACGAGTCAGAATCAACTCGACTGGCACCTAATAACAACAGTAGTAGTTATCTTTGGATGGATAGTACCATGTACTATTTTTATTATTTGCTCTTTTTAAGAGAATTCTCTTTCTCTATTGTGTATCTGTAAAAATAAAATTTAAAAAATGTGTAAGTAACACAGGCTCAATTAAAAGCAATCCATGTATAAGAAAATAAAAACCCCTCTTTATAACATTTACAGAATACTCTGGTATTCAGGTATTTGTTCTTCAAACCTGGTGTCTGTCATCTCCAAATATACTTAATTTTCTTCTCAAAACTGATTATACCATTAATACAAAGTATGGTCTATGGATCAGCGTAATTAACATCATCTGGGAAATTATTAGAAATATAGACTCTTAGGCCCCATGCCAGATTCATTGAACTTGGATCTGCATTCAGTCACATTCCCAGCTATTTCATATGTACACTAAATTTTGATAAACAATGGGTTAAACCCAAATTTAGTTTTGAATCTTTTTAAATTAGCATTTTAATAAGTTGATTTTCCTTACATTAAATACTTTCATGAATGTGATTTCCAAATATGTATTATAGTATTCAATAGCATGGGTCTATCTTGAATCAAACTATTTAATCAAACTAATAAACAATGAGTATACCGTCTTCCTTGCTATCATGAATAATTATCAGATAAATGGTCTTGTACCTAAAATTTGGTGGACTATCTGATTGCTTTTTGAACCTAGTAATGCAATGCCAGGGTAAAGAATATGAACTTTGTGAAAGCTGTTCACACATATTATCACATATTTTCCAGAAATGTTGAACCAGTTTATACTTCTGCCTAAAGCTTATGAATATACTTATCTCTTGAGATTCTCTCCAAATTTCACTACTCCTGGTATATTTAATCTTTAAAATTTGTTGATCAAAAACTATATTGCATTTTTACTTATATTTGAATTCACTAAACTAAATACTGAGAACCTTGGTGGTCCAGTGAATAAAGTGCTCAACTACTAACCAAGAGCTTGGCAGTTCAAACCCACCAGCAGCCCCACAGACTTGGAAACTGTATGGAGCAGCTGTATTCTGTTCTATAGGATCATTATGTGTTAGAATCACTTTGACAGCAGTGGATCTTTTTTTTTTTTGGTTTAGAGTGAATACTTTTTGTATATTTACTGGACAATTCTATTTCTACTTTTGTGAATTATGTGTCTATATTCTGTGTGAACATTTGATTGGCATGTCTGTGTTTTGAAAATCTTATATCAAATGCAGGTTACTGTAGGGAGATGGGATTTACATACATTGCTGGCATCACAATCTGCCAGTATTTGTCAAGAGGCTTAACAAACATTATATGTACTAATCCAATCATTTCAATTCTCAGACTAATTATAAATATAAAAAATCTCTATACTGAGATATTTTATATTTTGTTATTTTAAAAAATGAAAATGCTACCTTGAACTATATCTTAAAATACTGGATGAAGTATCTTTTAATAGTGAACTATGAAAATATTTTTAATCATGGAAAATTGTTAAGTACACTTTGGAATATATCTTTTAATAGACTTAAAATATTTGAACTTGGTATTTGCAAAAGGTTTTCAATAACATAAAAAGTACTAACAATATAATTTAAGTGAAAAATCTGCATATAAAATTGCATATGTTGTATGACTTATATTAGATACACAAAAGCAAAATAATATGACAATGGGAATTTTCCTTTTAAGCTGGAATTGTTAATATGGCTCAAGGTAGAATGGACATTAAATTTTCCCATTTTAAATAGAACTGCCAACAACTATGGCCATTTATCCTCTTTGATTACTCCCAGGTGGTACATTAGATCTATTACTGGACTCACTGCACCAATACATACTTAATAGCACATGAAAGAAATTCTATGGAGCTCTGGTAGCATAGTGCCTGAGGCATTTGACTGCTAACCAGAAGGCTGGATGTTCAAATCCACTAGCCACTCCTCAGAAGGAAGCTTTGGCGATCTACTTCAATAGTGATACTGCCTCAGAAACCCAAGGAGGGGTCGCTATGAGTGAGGTCTGACTCGACGGCACACAACAAAAACAGAGTGAGGAAAGGGAGCCTGGGATGTCCTAGCCCTTCTTGGGAATAGCCGCACATTTACAATTTACTCCCTTCCTTGTGGGAGAGAGATGGATGACTTCCCTGTCTGAAATCAAGAAAAGGAGATGCCAAGAAAATTAGTCAAATACAAGAATTCATGAAGCCAGGGAAGATTAACACATCATTTCTCTATATGTAAACTTTTGATAATTTAAATTCAGGTACTTTAAAATTAGAAAATAATGACTAACATTAATTACTACTACATGACCTAATTAACCATCTGTTTTGAATATAGTGAAAAGGTAATTGAAAGGACAGACAAATGCCATATTCTATTGTAGTGTATCCATGCCATACTTTCACACTTGCTGTCAACAGACCAATACATTATCAATCAAAATGAACATTGAACAGGTGAAACCTGATACATAATTTTGTGTGGTAATGGGTAAACATAAATGATTTAAAGCAGCAAAAAAGAAAGTAGCAATTTAAAAAATATATATGCATGATATTCCTGTATTAAAAACAGCTTACTGATAAGCATTACAAATTACGATTTCAAGGTGAAATGCGTTTGAATCAATTGACTACTAATCTTTCAAATTCTCCAAAAGGCAAGAGAAAAACATCCCAAAATATTGTTGTTGTTGTTGCTATTTGCCATCGAGTCGGCCCCTACTCATAGCGACCCCTCCTTGGGTTTCCGAGGCAGTATCACTACGGAAGTAGGAATGCCCAACCTTCCTTCTGAGGAGTGGTTGGTGGGTTTGAACCACCAGCCTTCTGGTTAGCAGTCAAGTGCCTTAGGCACTATGCTACCAGAGCTCCCAAAATATTAGAGAGATTTAAACGTTTCTCTTTTCTATGAAATTTGGACATGTTTTGATGATAGATGGTATAGGAATGTATTACTATAGAAGTGCATAATTAGGATAAAGGACATTTAGGAAAATTCAGTTTCAGCGATTTTTTATTGGACAATTGAACACCTGTGAAAGGAGCCCTGATAGTGCAGTAGTTAAGTGTTCTGCTACTAACTGAAAGGATGGCAGTTGGAACTCCCCAGCTGCTCTGAGAGAAAGATGAGACAGTCTGCTAGCATCAAGATTTATAGCTTTGAAACACTATGGGGCAGCTCTACTCTATTCTATAGGGTCATTATGACTCAGAATCAACTCTATGGCACTTTGTTTGTTCTTTTGGTTTGGGCACTTAGTTAGGAGTAGGAGCATCAAGGACTAGGAAGGATTCACAAAGGGAAGGCGGAAGGCACTAAGCATGTCCTCTCTTATAATTCTGCCAAGCACTTAACATGTATTTGCTTATTTTAGACACATTCCCACAAATTCTTTTCATCCCAAGTCCTACCTTTAAGCCTATGGAAGAGATCAGAAAACAACTTCAGTCCTTCAGCTGCAGAGCTAGATAGTCACTGGTCAAGTCGTTACCTGAGATCCACTCAGGTTCTGCATTATCCTGGTACTTCTGTTCTTTTCTGTCTGTTTTTCCTAAAAGTGTACTTTTTCCTAAGGCTGTGGGCCTATTTAGTAATGGGAAATGAGTACAGCTATGCCAGGAGTAATTTCTACACAGTCCTTAATTCTAAAATTAAGCTCCATGTAGCAGAAAACATTTGGGAACATTTTAATAATATAAGAGTGATTCATTCATTTCTCTTCCTGCAAACATAACCACAACCCATTACCCTATGCCCCTGTGAAATCATTATGATCCTCTCCCTCCAAAGATTCAGGCATTTTTCTATTTAGAAAAACTGTGGCTTTCAGTGCCTTTCCCTAACTTAACTACAAATCATTTTCACCAAACTAGCCTTCACACACACACACACACAAATACCCACAAACAAATACACAACATACACATGTATGAGATAATTTTTGGTAAATTGTTCAGTATAAAATTTTATGGTTTGACATGAATATTTAATCCATTCTTTTGCCTCTAAGTGGTATTGAACAGAATGATATATTCTGTAATAGGTCTGTCATTCTTTCTTAGGTATTTATGATTCATTTTGCCAAATTTGATTTAATGAACAGTCAGGAAGTCCTCCTTAATGTCTTGCTAAAAGTGTACCTTTAAAAATTGAATTTCCAATCATTATCTCTCTTTATTCTTCCACTGAAAACTTTGTAAATAGTTTCCTACAGTTCTTCTCAAAGCTGCTTTCACCTCTTTGTTCTTCAGGCTGTAGATGAGGGGGTTCAGCATGGGAATGATCACACCATACTGCACAGAGAAGACCAGCTCCTGAGGTGAGCCTGAGGTTGGCATGAGATAGCGGAGCAAAGCTGACCCATAGAAGAGGATCACTGCAGTGAAGTGGGAGGAGCAAGTGGAGAAGGCCTTGCTTCTGCCAGAGGTGGAGGTGATACTTAGAATGGTGAAGATGATGTAGGCATAGGAGAAAAAGACTGAAAGGAGAGTTATAAGTGCATGTGGAATGGTGGAGCAGAACATGACAATGAAGTTAGTGGAGACATCAGAGCAAGACAGATGTAAGATGGAGGGCAACTCACAGCTGTAGTGTGGGATGATAAAGGCATCACAGAAGTCCATTTTCACAGCTAGAAGGACATTGATGAATGCATCCAGAAAGCCTAAGCTCCATGAGCCCAATACAAGCTCCACACACCGCTGTTTACTCATCACCTGGCAATAGAACAGAGGGTGGCAGATGGCTGCATAGCGGTCATAGGCCATTGCTGAGAGCAGACAACTTTCAGTCCCTCCACTGAAAAATATAAAGAATGTCTGAGCCAGGCAACCCCTTGCTGAGATGGTTTTCTTCTGAGACAGCAGGTTCTCCAGCATCTTGGGCACAGTGACTGAAGAGAAGCAGACATCAACAAAAGAGAGGTGACTCAAGAAGAAGTACATGGGTGTGTGGAGGTGAGAATCAACCCTGATGACCAGCAGCAGCATCAAGTTCCCCATCACAGTTAGAAGATAAATACCCAGGAAGAGCATGAAGAGCAGAGCCTCGATCTTGGGGTCAGCAGACAGCCCGAGGAGGATGAACTCAGTGACGGTACTATGGTTCCTCAAGGCCATTTAAGAAATTTTATACCTAAAATGATACAAAAAAAGATGGCAGTGAAATGTCTATTGTCCTCCAATATTCACATTATATGGATTCTAATTTAATAACACAATTATCCAAAATATATGGGCCATGTTTTGTGGCAGTCACTCAGAACATAGTTAGATAACATATGTTGACTGTATTTGAAAAAATAATAGTTCAAAGAAGAACAAAAAATACAAACAAGCAATGATTTCATAGTGTGATTAACTGTAATGGAGCTCTTATAAAAAAATTAAGGGTGAGTACGATATCTGAAAGGAGTTAAGGAATGGAAGCACATTTAGGGTGAGGCAACAGACTAGTCAATGTATCAAGATTAAGAAATAACAAGACATGTTTCACAAAACATGGGTATTTCTTAATAGCTGAAGTTCAAAACATAGGTAGGCAATGTGGCACAAAAACTAAGGATAAAAACTCTCAAAAAAAACTCACTGCCATCGAGTCAGTTTCAACTCATAGCAACCCCTCCTTGGGTTTCTGAGGCGGTATCTCTATAGAAGTAGATTGCTCAATCTTCCTTCCAAGGAGTGGCTGGTGGGTTTGAACTGCCAGCCTTCTGGTTAGCAGTCAATGCCTTAGGACAGTCTTTGATTCCATTTTGAAAACTGGAATAATATATAACCATCTTAGGGGTTAATAAGAACTAAATATGATAACATATGCAAAGTATATATTAAAAACCTATACAATACTGCTTTGTGTAAATTAGCATTATTATTATCAACATTATTATTTGACATTATAATTATGGCTTAAGAAAGTTAATAAATCCTCATGTAGGATAATCACCTATTAGAGTTAAAACTGTTCTTGCTGATATTGCTGCTGCTTTTTATGGAACAATGCATAATAAAATCAGTTTAAAACCATAAAAGGTGGCTGTTCTTTTCCATCCTTTGCCAGTTGAAAAGCAGTTTGGCATTTGGAACCACAATGGAGCCTTCCATTCAAAAGAACTAAATACCTTGAAATTACTTAAGTTAATGGAACACAGAAGGAAGGGACAGCCAGTTCCGAAAGAGGACAGAAAGAAAAGGTGCAACCTCTAACTTCAGTCTTGAAATCACTTTCTTGGGTGGATGTATGCCTTATAAAGTACAGGACTGTGGCCAAATAAAGATGAGAGGTATTGAGGTAGTAGTAAGCCAGTGTCCAGGACGTTGACCACTTATCAGGCAGATTAGAAAAGGGGGAAAGGAGGAGTAGCATTTCTGGGACCCGTGCTCCTAGAAATCTGATGGTTTGCCAGGACACATAAATTATTATGAAATCACCAGCAGGTACTGCTTCCTATCTCAGAGAGAGGAGTTCTTATAAGTAAGTTTTCTTTGCAGATTCTAAGAAGCTTTCTTAAAATAGAGGGATAGAACCTGCAGCCCTGTGTATCTCAGTTGTGCAGACATTTGCATTCACCGTTTCACCTTCGTCCTGAGACTCTTGTCTCAGTATTCAAGGACAGGACTCTTCCATGTCCCTTGACTTTGGTTGTACCAGAACT